CTAGAAAGCACTTTTGTTATTTTTATCTGCTTTAAGCTTCGAAGCAAATACACGGTTGTATGTGTTAAGATAGCCATAAAGGCTCTCATGATATGCAGAAGACTGGCCGGAAATAGATGGGGCTGCTCCCCTAACATTTTGCGCTGGATGTATACCATGGTAGTAAGACCCATGATTACTTATGGAGCAGTTGCCTGGTACACAAAACTAGAGCAACGGACGGCAAGGCTAAACCTATGCAAAGTCCAGAGACTAGCATGCGTTTGCATCATAGGAGCCATGAGAACCTGTCCAACAGCAGCAATGGAAGTCATTCTAGATCTAACACCACTGCACATTGTCATTGGTAGATATGCCAATGCGACAATGATTAGAATGGTCACTAACGGAATTAGTACTGGGAGAATTGTCAGATCAGGGGCTTGGAACACCCTCAAAAAGGAAATACTACTCCTGCAACTCCCAGTGGACGATATGCCAAGAACGTACAACTTTGACAAACATGTCAATGTAGTATTGAGCAATAAGAAGGATTGGAAGAGCGAAACGCTTGCCCAGCAGTTAAAAGACCATACCGACCATACCATAACTTGATATACTGATGCTTCCAAAACCAATACGGGAACAGGGATCGGAGTATTTGGGTCGAGAACTAAATATTCCGAACCAATGGGCACTTACCCTAGTATCCTACAGGCAGAAATCTACGCTATCAAAAGATGCGTACAACTTATCTTAGATAGGAACTATCGGAAACAAGAAATAGCCATCTTATCTGATAGTCAAGCAGCGTTAAAGGCGATCAACTCAGTATCAATCAATTCGAAATTGGTCAAAGAATGCATAGAGAAGCTGAATAAATTAGGCAAAGAAAACAAAGTCCTCCTACACTGGGTGCCTGCTCACCAAGGGATAGAAGGCAATGAAAAAGCAAATAATCTAGCTAGGAAAGCAGCGAACACTCCACTAACTGAACCAGAACCGTTCTGCTTTCCAAGTGGTAACCAACTCAAGGCGGAACTCAAGAACTTGGAAGATTCCATCCGCAACCTGGAATGGAAATTTTCCAATGGTCTAAGACACTCGAAGAAGTTTCTGAGGGCTTATGATGAAGAAAAATCACAGATCTTCCTGGGTCTGAGTAAGAACAATCTTCGGATTGTCACGGGGTTTTTAACAGGACACTGTCTCCTCAACGAACACCTCAGTAGATTGAAACTAAGAGAAACGGCGAATGCAGATTCTGTGGGGAAGATGGTGAAACACCAGTACACCTCATCACTGAGTGCGCCGAGACGACAACCATTCGTGCCATGAATTTTGGTACGACTGATATTGGAGATAGAGAACTACCCTCTGTAAAACCGTCCCAGATACTGGCTTTTGTCAAAGCCCTGGGACTGTATGATGAGTTATGATTCAAGAAAGGGGGACACAATGGACCTGTAAGGTCGAAGTGATTAACCCGCCTCCCACTCATTCTAAATTCTAAAAATTCTAAAATGTGTTAAGATAAATAGTTGTTTTTATTTGCAACACCCGATGCTTCTTTTCTTTCTCTGCGAGCGATATTCACAAATAATTAACTACGATGAATAGTACCGTATTATTGAATAAAACCGGTGTCTAGTTGACTTGGAAATGGTGGTCGATGACATATAATAATAACTCCCGTGTATAGAGTTTAACGCCTTGGGAGACCCAATCAGCATTTGGTCGTCGGGAGAACGTTGTGTCACGCGACCAAACGTCGGGGCGCAACGTCGGCACAACCTCGTGCCAACCCTAGTCTGCACTCACAAAACACATACACAAGGAGAAGTGCGAGCGCCTTGCTAAATATTGGAAAGTGAAATTGACGTTTAAATTTGACACTGTTGACAAGTCTACTGCTACTAGCGCCCCCAATATCGCTTGTAGGAACTACGGACTAGATTGTCACGCATGGCGGGAAGTTTAAAAAAATAAAAAATTTTAATTCTTCATTTATTTTTAATTATGACATAGATAAAAACACAAAAAATACACCATTTTTTAAAAATATGTTTAATATCAATATCAAATATACAACAGAAATTAATTTCACCACAATAAATTAATAAAATTAAAAAATAATGTTACAAGTAGATCAAGAGACAAAATTAATTATAACAAAACTGAAAAAAATGGCGTCATAGATGGCTTAGAAATGACGATATATATCATAATTTTGAAAGTAAAATTATATAGGAAATGTCATCGATCATCATTTTGAAGCCAACTGGACGATTATTTCAAACATACAAGCTGAGTTCGTTCATAGTGCTCTGAGAAATCTAGATAAACAAAGAATAATAAATTAAAAGTATTCCAGGGAAAAAGAGAGGAAAAACCTGTATCGTCTCTGATATCTGTCAGGGTTTTGTTGAAAGTGTCATCTTTTTGCTCGAAGTTTTCAGGTCGATTAAAAAGATGACATTTACAACAATACTTTGCCGTAACTTTCACAAATATCAGAGAGAGAGTACAGGTATTGCCTCTCTTTTCCTCTGGGATGCTTTATATCTGTTCTTCTTTGTTTACCTATATTTCTAAGAGCATAATGCCAAACACGACTACAGTATATAATAATTTCAATATCCTAAGTGGAAAGAAAAAAGATCACCTTTCTGTTTTGTACTATGGTCCCTTTCTTCCGATGGCTCATCTCGTTGATATTTAGGAAGGTATCCATAAAATATATATTTTATTATCGGTCCTGGGATGAAAAAATATAAAATTCAATTTCATTTGATGATCCTTTTCTGTCACCTAAATCAGGAGAATGACAATGAGCATGTTAAGATGAAAAAAAACTTATTTATCAACACTTACCTACACGTTAGTCCAAGGAGTTTTATCAAAAACCTATATTTGCCTAAATAATTTATGTATTCAATTTACAAAGCAAACTGCAGCGTGTAAACAAAAGAAATAAAATGGCGACAAGTCACGTCAACGACCCGACAAGGAGAAAAGTGGTGTTCGAATAACAATTTATGGGTTGCAAAAATTGTTTTTGTCTCCTTTCAACGCACACTTTAGAAAGAAAAAGAGCTGAACAGTTATACTGAAAGAATGTCAAGGTTTTATCTGTCACTCTTGTCAATAATTTATCGGTAAAGAAGATTCCTAGAAAATCGCTTGTAGTCAAGTTTTCAACCATTTCCAGTTCTCCCATAAGAAGTGTCATCCACCTGTCTGCACTAGTTTGGAGAATAATTTTTGGGTCGAAACGATGTTGGATACCGACGTTGGCTAGCAGCCTAATTTAGTACAAACTGCAACGTTGTTTAAAATCCTAATTCACAGAAATACAAAACTATAATAATATGGCGTCTAAGTCGCGTTTTATCCTAAATTGGGATAATTATAGTAAAAATATTATTTTTATGATTTAGTTAGAAATATATGCCAGATGGCAGTAAAGGAAAACAAAACAAAAGTATTTAAGTATGGAGGATGTTTGAAGATCATAATTATTGAAACACTCTAACCGACTCTGTAACTCGTTACCCAAGGCAAAAAAGTTAAACGCCAACAACTTTATTGATAAATGTATTGTTTCTACTTTGAAAAATACTAATGGGCCTTAAAATTAAAGAAGTTTTAAAAAATTTCTTGAATTTTTTTTTTAGTAAAATGAGAATAATTTATTTGCAGTCGAAAAAATTGTTTCCACGTGTTGTTTAGGGTCAAATGTTTCAAGTTAATGTATTCAAAAAGCAGGAATTGCTATTTTAGGAACGAAACATTTCCTTATTCAACAACATGGCGGCTTTCACTTTGTTGTTTTGGAGATTAAGATGGAGTAGTTCGAGTAGTCGCATACTGGACTAATAAAGTCGCAGTTCAGCCTTAACAGGTAGTATACTAGTCGCAAGTTTGCCTAATTTAGTCATCTTAGAGTCTAGCTTGTGCCGCCCTCTATATTCTAAATAAACGAGGGAGTGGATAAAGTATCGGTAATATGTCGATGTATTGTACAGTTGCAAAAAGGTAGTGGCTCGACGCCCTACTAACGTAAGAATAAGGAAATCTAAACAACGTTGGAATTAATAAAACAGACGACGTTTGCATAACATTGGAATAGGTCCTGAAAGTGCGTCGGAAAACTCGTTATTGCCCAACATTGTAACTACGTTGTCCGAATCACCTAAAGATCACTTAAGCAAAAAAGGTTAGAAGACAACGTTTATTCGACGTCGCAGAAGCTTTTCCTTTGTTGTAGTACTAATTCAACGTCGGCACAACGTTACAACAACGTTTTCATTTATTTTAATACCCAAGGTACGGAGATAACTATTTTTTGTAACTAATGCAACGTTGTGTTTAGTAAACATTTGGTCGCAAGTCGTGAAAATGCTTCTTGGGGATGCAATGCCGGGTATTTTTAAAAAAAATAAAAATTCTTTTAATTGGCTTAGAAATGACGATAATTATTTTCCATAATATTTTACATATAAAGTAACAACGATCTTTATTTCCAAGCCAACTCTGACGCCGTTCTTTGTTAAACAATATAATATTATATTAAATTGTTTAATGGTAGAAAATCCGTATTATTAACGTACTGTACCCAAAATCCGTAAATCTACAGATTAATCAGTAGTTCTGGCAACACTGTCTCCGGCAACCATGCACTTACTCTGTCGACTAAAAGCAGTACTACGGTATAGTATTCTTTATGTTCTGCGCTGTAAACGACTATCAGTGCGCAGTGGCACAGAGCTAAACTAAATCCCAGAATTCTTGGACAGGCTGACGGTAACGCCATCTACGTTTTGTGCCACTAAAGCGCCTATAAGGTTGCGCATCTTCTTATTTCTTCAATCAATGGTCGTATGCTGTCTTTACGCATGTCACGGTTAGGCGAGCGCGCCGTAAAGGAGTTCTGCTTCAAATATGAAAAAAATATAGGAGAAAAACACCCGGTGTATTAAATTTTGATTTTAGTTAATATGTTTTTATTTTTTTTACAGGAAAGTAACTCAAATTCTACCCAGGTAGTACTTAGAAGTATAGAATTCAACTTATCAGGAAACTTCAGCTGTGAGATTACAACTGATTTGCCTCATATGGTTACGGGAATTGATACACAATGGATGATAGTAATACGTAAGTAATTAAAAATAGAAAATTACTTAGAAAATGTATATTTATAGCAGTTAACGGTGATTAGAAGTAACATACAATAAGTATAATTACGATTAAGTCAAAATGACTGATATATATTTATACAAGGTGAATCTTAAAGAATTGCAAACATTTTCAGGGCTTGCAAACCTCGATAAAATGAACACATTTTCTCTTTATCCCTTTTCAAAAAAGTTCAAAATAATCTAGTCATTTTACTTAAAAACCTAAAAAAAAATTGTTTAAATTATGAGAAATATTGATTTTTTGGTTTTCCTTCTTGTAAATCTACTACCTATGTTGCTATGTTATGAAGATATTATGTTTTTAACCAAACATTTTTTTTTCGAAAAATACAATATTTCCAAAAATATTCTTTTTTTTTCAAGAATTAATCTTCATAGACGTGTTTCTGGGATCAAAGTATGCCACTTCTAAAAATATTTTCACTTATTTAAGACTTACCCTGTATATAAAAGCAATCGACTCATTGACATCACGATATCTTGAAAAGTACAAAAGAAATGTCAGAATGAGATCAATTTTGATTTACATATTCGATATAGTCGCTTACTGAGAACGAATTTTTCTCAAATTCCATCCAAAGTATTTTATTACTCGGAAAATTAAGAAAACGCTTTTGTAGCCCCTGTATAAAAATGCCATATGACGACATTAAATCTTCAAGTAATAAGTTTGAATTTATTCACAGAGAGATTTTTTTTTATATAAAACTAATTTATTTGGAATATCCAAAGTTAATTTCTTAAAAATTGAATATAATATCTATAAAATTTGAAAAAATGGCAGAATTATAAATATACAAAAATTGTGTTTAAAGCCATAGTTGAAATATGTCTTGGCAACAATTTAGGATATACAGGGTGAGTTTCCTACGATGTTCTCTATGGGCAACTCGGAAACTACTGGAGATAGAGAGTCGGTTAAATGGGGAAAGAATTGCAGTTTTGTGAGGTCATAAATATGCGCCTTTCAGATTTTTGAAAATGTTCATGGATTACTAGATATTTCGAAAAAAACAAAACTTGTCTATTTTAAAAATTGTCCCTAATTCCATTATAATCTATTTAGACAAAAAGCGTTCAGATAAAAGTTGTAGATAATCACATTTCTAATGAGATTGTGTTCTCCGATTTTTTCTAAATCCTGTTATTTTTGACATATGACACAAACATATGTTTTTTTAAATGGAAACCATAGTTGGCCATGACTTCATAAAAAGCGCCATTTTTTAAGCTTTTCACCGATATAAGCCATAATATGTTTCTTTTACAAAATTACTGAGTTATAGCCAATTCTTATCTTTCTTGACTAATTTCACTTAGTTAGCCATGGAAACAAGTTCAATCGTCGTTGCTCTCAGAAATGTGAAATTGTCACATCCAATCTTTGTAAATTAAAATAAAGAAAAATTGTAAATATTTTTTTAAATGAAGAAAAGCGTGTAGGATTATTGGTTCAACTTTTCTTGACCATACAAGATACGTTGACCAGTGAAAGTTACTTACGTTTTTTAGGGAACGGTTTCCAATGGTGTTCCAATTTTGTTATGATTTATAACTTATAAAAAGACAAAATACATTATTAAACGGCTCTTTACAATTTACATTACACAAACTAAAACTTAAAAAAATAATCAATACATACACTTTAAGTTATTTTAGAAAATGTCCAAAAAATCCGCAATTGATTTGAGTACATAAATGCATCTTTTTAAAACTGAATTTCTAGCTATTGTCACAGAACGACCGGTCGACTTAATTAAACTTCTCCTGTTCCGCCTCTTCGAGTGCCTTTCATAAGTTCATAAGTTCTTTTGTAAACCTTGTTGTTAACCATACCGCATAAAAAAAATCTAAAATGGATAGGTCAGGTGACCGAGGAGATCCAAGCAATTGGTCCATCTCTTTCTATCCCTGAGTCGACATAATTATTATAATAACATAATTTGTAACATTTCTTACATTGTGGGGTGGGGGGGGGGTTGGTGTGTCATAATGAAAGTCATGTTGCAACCACTCTATTAATGCGCGAGTATCTAAATTTAACTTTTCTAACATGTCTTGAAAACCGTTCTCCAAAAAACATAAGTAACGTTCACCGGTCAACGTATTCTCGAAACTGTATGGCCAAGAAAAGTTGAACCAACACGCTTTTATTCATTTGAAAAACTCGTATTTACAATTTTTGTTTATTTTAATTTACAAAGACTGGACGTGAAAATTTCAAATTTCTGAGAACAACGACGATTGAACTTGTTTCCATGGCTAACTAAGTGAAATTAGTCAAGAAATATAAGAATTGGCTATAACTCAGTAATTTTGTGAAAGAAACATATTATAGCTTATATCGCTGAAAAATATTCATCCCCCCGTTTTTGGACACTCATCGTTTTTCCCATGTGTCCTTCAAATGTTACTTGCCTTGTTTTATTCAAATTGTAACAATCCAATATTACATATACCATTGTAACAACCAAATACTACATAATACGAAATAATTTGAAAATCACAAGTGTCATAAATACTGCTCTTTCTATTCTCTACTAGTTATTGGTTGTAGTGGATCCTCTCTTTGACGCTCTAGTTAAATATTCATTCAGAGAAGGCAGAAGTCTTCTAATTTTCAAAAAAAAAGTAGTCTATATTTAAATAGATTTGGCACTATTTGGTAAAATTTACTTCTAATTTTATTCATTTTGAGGCATTAATAAGAAAATGCAAATCTGAAATAAGAAAGCTCTAGTCCAATCTAAACACCAACTATACTTGTATTCATTTAAAACTTCCCAATATGGCGGACTTCAGTATGGGAGGCTTAAAAAACGAAAATCTCTAAACTGGAATCGACTGTACTTCAAATCGTTCATATTGATATAATCTGTGGTAAATCCAATTGAACTCTGACACTTGGCTGACATTGACGTTTACTGTTATTATTTTCATTATTTTTTGAGTTTTTATTCACAAATTCTACTTGATTTTGTTCTTTTATTTAACCTGCAGTACTAATTATATAGTTATAAATAATCTTTTCACCGATCAAGAATTGACGAATAGGCTGGAAGATATTCAAATGTGTAAACGCTTAAAAACGTATTAGAAAACATTGACTCGTTCACAAATTCGTGAAAATAAATTAGTCCAGATGTTTGTAAAAAGGTCTCTAATTAATTTGAGAAGTTTCCTCGTAATTTTCAGGTTTGTAATATATGTACTATATGATAATAAATACATTAAAACTCTTATATTTCAGGAAACAGCGCGGGCATTACAGATTGTTGTAAATCAGTTTTAAAATATAAAGAAGGTTTAAAACAGGTTTAAAAGTTGAGTTAGTAGAAGACCTAAATAAGGTAATGTTGGTAATGGGACCAAACATCAAATAACACTTGAAATATATAATTATGTACAATAATTGTAAGTAGTTTTTATGAATCTGTTTGATATCTATTGCATTGTTTTTATATTTCTTGAAATATATATATATTTTTTTTACTTTACAGGATAAACAAAGAATAATAAAAAATATAGTTAGTCACTAAAAGCACTTAAGGTTTGTAATAGAGGTAGTTAGAATATCAAACACCAAACCAAACCAAAAATTATGTTTTATTTTACTGGTATTCCTCACATTTTGAAGGAAAGTCATTTCATAAATAAGCAGGACATTGTATAGTACACTCTATATTAATAATTGTTTTTTATCCTATACTTGTTAGTTAATGCATCACTTACTAGGTATAAAATTTAGTACTGATTAACCTATAGTTGTGGTTGTGATATATTCTGATGTGTTTCTGGCAATTTAAAATAAGTCAATATTTAAACAAACATTTCTGGCTTTCCTGACAGGAGTGTGGACACAAATTTAATAAAGGTATAATGTGGATAATGTTCTGATTATTACAGTTTGCATGGATGTTTTTTTGTATGTTGTTATTTTTAATAAAGTATATTTAATGAGTTTTTGAGTATTTCTTTTTCCTTCAGAGGATTGTGTTCTAATCTTTATATATTATAAATTTTCATAAATTATATCTACAAAATTTATTACCTTATAACTATTTAAATAAGATGTTTGAAAATATATCGCTGTTTTTGCACACATCAATTCAATTTGTGATTAACTGTACTGAAATAAAAACAAATTAAGTGAAATGGGGTGATCTATCAACTATAACATGAAAAGCATGATCCTATTTCCAAGTCTTCTATTAATTTCACTTATTAAACAACTATAATTATTCAATAATCTTGATAATTCTAGAACTCTCAGATATCGTCAAAACATGAAAACAAAAATTTACTTCCTATAGTTCTTACGTCCCTTTAACTGAAATATAAGAAATAGGGGTGTTAATATTCTCACTGAGAAAGTTTATAAAATACCTTTAAGTAAAATCTCTTCGGATCTGCGGTAAAATGCCTTTATTCTTATTAAATAATTTCAATAATCTATGTTTTTATTTATGACAACCATCTAATAACCTAACTTTAACGTCAACTTGACAATCCTGAAAAATATTATTGTTAACCAAAGAGTAAATCAATTTCTGAATTCACTAACGCCAACTTATTTTTCATTAAAAAAAAATTACCAATTTTCGTAACTAGGTCGGCCATATTGAGGAACTTTTAAAAGAATAGTACTATACTTCACTGTAGAAACAAATGCATTGTAAGTAGAAGCATTGTTTTTCTCCCGGGTGACAAAAATCTCGTCGCTGTTTTTGCTGCTTTCCTTCAGTTCCATTCTACATCCGGAAATTCATTAATAAAACGAAAGAACTAAGGCGGAAGTTGATTTGTTTTTGGTGAAAATTAATTTTGTATGTCGTAAAACTCTCCGCCAGGAGAGAAGATGAAAAGTAAAGGGAACGAAATACACGAGTTCAAAACTGATGATGGCTTTAAAATGGCCTTTGTCTTACGATCTTCATTTAACTAAGTTGGACTCAA